CCCACAGAGAGCTGGGCCCTTCCTCATCAATCAGCAATCATGAGGACGCCCCACAGACGTAGCCACAGCAGATCCGACAGAGGCATTTTCTTGATGGACGTCCCCTCTGCCCAGAACAGCTCCAGCTTGTGTCAGATTGACAGAACCAGCACAGGCGGTGAGTTTGGATGGAGTTGTTGGCAGTTCCGGGCTAGCTGGCAGTGTTTGCAGGAGCCAGGGTTGTAGGGACCACCAGAGCGTGGGGCAGAGGTATGGGGACAGTCCAGCCTGCAGGGTCGAAGGTGTGCATGTGCTCCTCAGGAAGAGGAATGCTGGGACAGCCCGCCCAGGTGCCTTGTGGGAAGAGACATGGCAGCAAACAATTCAGGGCTCCTGCACCCACGGTGCTATGGCTTGAGGCTGAGGGCCAGGCCTCACACATGCCAGCTTACCTGAGCCCTGCAGGCATAGCAAAGGCAGTGGGGCTGTGTGCAGCAGGAGCCTGAGGCTCGTGCTAGCCTTGCAAGATGTGGCAAACGGCTTCCTGTCACCCCCTTCCCAATGCTCCAGGTCTTGATCTAGCTTCCTCTCTGCTCAAGGAAAAGGATGTGGGAGTCTGCTGAGGATCCAGGCAAGAGGTGAAGAAGTGAGAGACCCAGAGGCTGAGGTCCTGAGGCCAGTGTTGTTTCCTGGAGCTGGCCAGGAGCGGAGAACTGGGGGAGACATCTGACGGAGACCCCCTCAGGAAGTGGGAGTGCTGGGGCTGCGAGGTTATCCTGCTGTCCAGTCTCAGGAAGCCTCAGCATAAGCCTTGCCTCCACTGACTTGGTGAAATACATGGCTAACTTTACAAAGGCCAGAGGTTAGCCAGGCATGGTAGTGTGCCCTTTTAATCCCAGCACTCAAGAAGCAGAGGCAGGCAGGTCTCTGTGAGTTCAAAGCCAGCCTGGTCTATAGAGAGAGCTCCAAACCAGCCAGCCAGAGCTACGCAGTGAGACATTGTCTCAAACTCAAAAAACAAACAAAACCAAAAAATTTATTCTGATTACGGTTTGGGAGGCTGAAAGTCCAAGCATGAGTGACTTTGTGTGTCATGCTTGGGAGAATCCCATGGTAACTGTGCAAGATGGAAAAAGTCACCCCACCCAACAGGACCCAGACAGTGACAGGGGCAGCACAGCCCCGTCCCAGGACCCTGCCTCAGTGACCTAAGGACCTCTCCGAGGAGTTCCCATCTCTCCACAACACAACGCTGAAGGCCAGGCTTCCAGCCAATGGGGTGAGGGAGGCTAGCAGCTAGCCCTCCAAGCCTAGATGAGAGGAACCCAGCAGGACTCCAGGTGTGGCAGAGGGAGAGGAAGGGAGGGCTCCACCCACGTGGACCCGCCCTGGCACACGGCCCCTCACCTAGCTCCGCAGCCCTGGGAGATGGGTCCCACCAACTGATCAGGACAGAGCACTGAGCTTAGAGTCAGGAGTTCCGGATCTGCTAAAGCTGGACAACTCCGAACTCACTGCACAGCCTCCCTGGACCTTACTTATCTGATAGGTAGGGCTCTGTTAGTCAGTGTTAGCCATCAACACAACAAAACCTGAAATCACCTGGGATGGGAGCCTCATCAGGGGACTGTGGGGGTTAGGTCTGTGAGCGAGCCTGTGAGGGATCCGGGTGAACTGATGTGGGAAAGGGCACCCTGTAGAACCCCTTTACAGACTAGACCCTAGTCTCTGACCAAAGGCAGAGGGAGCCGGGCACAAGCATTCATCTCTCTGCTTCTTTGAGGTTTATTTGTATTTTGTGTGTGAATGCTTGTGTTGTGTGTGAAACGCTGGCCGAGGCCTGAGAGGATAAAGATGCCCTGGAACTGGAGGTTCATGTGGTTGTGGCTTTGTGGGTGCTGGGAATTGAACCAGGGTCCTCTACAAGAGCGGCCAGTGCTCTTCACCACTGGACCAGCTCTCCAGCCGCTGCTCTCACTTCTTGAGGATGGATTCAACATGGCCAGCAGCTTTCTGGAAATCCTGCTCCTGTGTGTACCTACAGTTGTGTTCTACTTCCTAAAACTATGAACAAAAGTACTCCCCAGTTTTGTTTTGTTTTGTTTTGTTTTGTTTTGTTTTTTTTTTGAGGCAGGGCTTCTCTGTGTAGCCTTGGCTGTCGTGGAAACTCACTCTGTAGACCAGGCTGGCCTCAATCCCCAGTTGCTTTTATTGGGGTATTTTATCACAGCAACAGAAAAGAAGCCAAGACACGAGGAGCTAGATTAGATGCTCCTGAAGGCTCTTTCGCCTTCACCTCCCAAAGGAGTTAGAAGAAAAGCCAGAGGCACCAGCACATTTGGTGGCCTCCCTTGCCATCTGTGGAGCCATTTGATGAGGCTGGCTGGGGGAGGGCAGGGTAGTGAAGACTGGGAGACACAGGAGCCTCGAGCTCATGGACAGTAGATGGAAACTCAACTTAGTGTAAGAAAAGGAGCACAAGCCAGGCATGATGGCACACGCCTGTAGTCCCAGGACTCAGGGAGGCAGAGGCAGGTGGATCTCTGTGAGTTCAAGGCCAGTCTGATTTACAAAGTGAGCCCAGGACAGCCAGGGCTACACAGAGAAACCCTGTCTGGAAAAACAAAACAAACAAAAAATGAGTGCACTGGAAAACAAGAAAATGCCAGGAAGTAGCCCAAGCTGTTTGAAAACCAGTGTTGTTCAGAACTATCCTCCATGCCATACAGCTGTGCGTCATGAGCTGTGTCCACCTGCAAAGCATCACCTGGGGCAGGCTCACCGCTTTCCAATGGCCTGGCTATTACTGGCAGATGTGCCAACATTAGGTTTGACAACTGTGCAAGCTTGTTTCTAGGTTTCTGATTTTTTTGTTTGTTTGTTTGTTGAGACAAGGTCTATGTTGCTCTGGCAGGCCTAAAAATCACTATGTAGCCCAGGCTGGCCTTGAACTCAGAGATTAGCTTGCCTCTGCCTGGGATTAAAGGCTTTAATTAAAGTGCTGAGATTGAAAGTGAGTGCCACCAACTCTTGGCTTGTCTTTAATTTTGAATGAGTGTTTACAAAGGCATTAGATGGGAGGCAGAGGCAGGCAGATCTTTGAGTTGGAGGCCAGCCTGCTCCACAGAGTGAGTCCTGGACAGCCAGGGCTACACAGAAAAACCCTGTCTCAAAAAAACAAAACAAGGCTGGAGAGATGGCTCAGAGGTTAAGAGCACTGGCTGTTCTTCCGAAGGTCCTGAGTTCAATTCCTGGCAGGGATGGTTCACAACCATCTACAGTGAGATTTAGTTCCTCTTCTGGTGTGCAGGCAGAACACTGTATAAACATTAAATAAATCTTAAAAAAACAACCAAAAAACCAAAACAAACAAACAAACAAAAAGGGAAATGTAGTGTGTGGCCTGGAGCTGCTCAAACTGGGTTTAATACTGCAGTCCATGCACAAGAAGATGGCACCCGAAGGCCTGCACTTTCTGTGGACTATGGCATCTCTTGAGGGCACCTCCAGGGACCTTCTGTCTGTCTGGTCTGCCATGAGGCCAGACTCCCTCCCTCTAGGTCTTTCACTCAATGGCTCCCACCAAACCACAGCTCCTGTGTCCTGGCCCAGGAGCAGCAGGACACTGGCAGGAAACCTTGGGAAACACCAGCAAGTAGCCAGAGTGGCTGGTCCCTTCTGTAAACACGATGTGTGCCCGTGTGTGCATGGGAGGGGCAGCCAAGCAAGCCTGAGGCTCTTTGGGCCCCCATGGCCCCTGGCCCCGGCTTCTTAGGCATTCTAGGATCTACAAGGCCACGACACTTGGACCCTGGGCATTTCCCAAAGCTCTACACCTTACCCAGCACCAAGCTTGGTCAGGAATGCCCATCTTCCAGTTACTCACTCCTTCATTTTGTGTATACGAGAACACGTGGCCGTGGGAGTCGCCCATTAGTGGGATATGGCAAAGAGAGCAGACTTATTTCCGTGGGAATCAATCCCAGGCCCAAGTTCCTAAATGCCCAGCAGGGATGAGTGATCACAGATGTGAAACCTGAGTTAGGGCACACCAGGCCTAGCAAGGCCATGTGGGGAATTTGGAAATCTCTTTGGCTCTCTGCCTCTGTGTCAGGTGCCCCTGGGAGATGCTGAGCCCTCGCCCCAACAGCCCAGAGGATTGTGGGACTGTAGAGGGGCACAGGGCAATATTAACCTAAGAGCCAAATCCCTCCCTTAAAGATGAGGGTCACGTCCTAGCTGACAGCATTGGCGAGTGTGAGAAGGGACAGTCCAAGCATGGCTGGGGAAATGACTCAGAGGGTGAAGGGCCTGTGAGGGCAGTGCTTGTGAGGACCTGAGTTCAGAGTCCATCCCCCCCACAGAGCCAGGCAGAGTGGCTGTAAACCCAGAGCTGGGGCTCAGGCAGAGGCAGGCGGATCCACCGGACTCACTGACCATCTAGTCTGGCCAAATTGCAGTCTCCAGCTTTAGTGGGAGAACTTGTCCTTAAAAATAAGGTAGGTGGGGGTGGGAGCTGAAGTGATGACTCACAGCAGTTAAGAGCATGGACTGCTCTTGCTGAGGACCCGACTTTGGCTCCCAGCATCCACATGATGACTCCAAACTTACCTGTAACCCCAGTTCCAGGCACACACATGGAGCACATACACACATAAATGCAAGCAGAACACCCATAAGTAAAATAAAAATAAGCCTTTTTGTTTTTTGAAACAGGGTTTCTCTGTGTAGCTTTGGTTGTCTTGAACTCACTTTGTAGACCAGGCTGGCCTCAAACTCAGAGATCCACCTGCCTCTGCTTCCTAAGTGCTGGGATTAAAGGTGTGTGCCACCGCCACCCATCAATAAAATAAATGTCTTTTTTTTTTTTAATAAAATAAATCTTAAGAAAGAAAAAAGTGGAGAGAAATTGAGGAAGAAACCAATGTTGAACTCTGGCCTTCACATGTACACACATTTGCCTGAATATGTACACACACACACGAAAGAGAGAAAAAGAGTCCAAAGAGACCACAGTCTTTCTTCACTCTTTACTGTGTAAAAATAAACTCAACAATTCATGTCATCTCAGCAAGAAAATGGGGGAAAAAAAAGCAAGGGTACCAGTATAAATAGTGCACTTCCAGAATGGCTGATGGGTTGTGGATTTACCCCTTTGATACTCAAAAGGCTGCAGATCGTATGAAAAATGTACAGCTTTGGTTAGCAAATAATGAAAAAGTAAGATACATCGATTCTTTCATATTTTACAGTATGTACATTGTAACAATATCAACTCTACAGGGGTTGCTTTTTTTGGCAAATAAGACAAAATTGGGACTCTAAGTATTGGGCTTTTGTTTCTTCTCAATGACTTGTTCCCTTTTGAACAAATTGCACGTAAGTCCACTGCACACAGAAGCACTACCTATCCCATTGTTAGCTGAGTGAGTTCACGCGTGTTTGAGATGAAATCATGACTGCCTCGAGCCACACTCGGAGCACTAAGGATGCTATAGCCTTGTGTTAGCCAGCGTGACCCTCGTTCCCTCAATCAAGCTCAGAACTGGTATCCGAATTCTCATCTCCTTCCACATAACCAGTCAGCTCCAAGGCGAAGAACCCACCATCAAAGGCCTTGTTTGTTTTTAACCTCCTGGTCCCTAGCGCACCTTCGAGATCTGGTGGCCCCTCATCAGAGCTCCTTGGAATGACTGCGAACCTCATCCAGCCTGTCCTTCCCCTCACCACCCACAAGACAACCCCTTGGTCTCAGGTCCCAGGGCTGGTGGCAAAGTGATCTTTGCAGTCTTAGAAAATAAGTTGGGAATCTACAAAAGGAAAAGAAAGCATACAAAAATGTATCTCTTTCTTCCAAAATACAAGCTTTCAGTCCTACATTTTGGTGGAGCCTGAAAGTATTTTCAAGGGAGATATAGGTTGAGATAATTTATAGATTTGTCCTGTCTTTCATAAAAATACTCTTGTTTGGTAATAAACGTTTTCTTCTACAGTAAGAGAAATAATACTGTGTTATCAAAAGCAAGAAGGCTTACAATTCAAGTGGGCTCTCAGCCCCCTAGGGCCTGGGAGCCTCCGTGGCAGCTCTACCACCCTAATGCCCAGGGTGCTGTCGGACACCTTCGGCAGAAGCAAACACTGTCTCGACAGTGGATTTTATCTCTTATTTTATAAAATGGCTTACCTGAGAGAGGCATGTATTATTCAGTGCAAGAGGGAACACCAATCAGATTACGGAGTCGATGAAAAGTGTGTGGATTAGATTTTGCGGCTGTCATTACCTTTCTCAGGGCCAGCAAAGTGCCAAGTATGAACACAGTGACGGAGGGGAGGGCTTGGCACAGACTCCACTTAGGGGCAGGGCAAGAGCTCGGTGTCAGCTTCTGCCCCTGGCACCATGGGTGCCGCAGGGGAGAGGAGAAGGGAGAGGAGCTGAGAGATGAACGGAAGGAGGCAGAAGCGTTGGGGTGAGCTCTGCCCTCTGAGCCAGGGCAGAGGATGGCTTGTGGTCCTGAACGGACAGCTCCCACCCCACCCATCCGGGTGCGGGTGGTCTGGGGTCCGCATTGGCAGGGGCTGGGGCTGGTGGCAGGGGTTGGCAGGAGTGCGCCGGTCACAGCCGGCTCTGGGCCTTGCCTGGTGATGGCTCCCGGAAGGCTAAAGTAAGGGTGGGGCTCAATCTGGTCTGGAAAGTTGATTCTAAGCTCACGCTCTCTCTCCCAACCATGGTACCATTCAGGCTTGTTCTCAGCCTAGATGTTAGAGATGCTTCTTGCTATATTTGGGGAGAAGGAGGGAAGAGGGATACTGACCTCCCTCTTGATCCCCCCAATACCCCCCTGCTTGCTTACCCAGCCATTTTTCAGTAGCTACAAGGGTGATCACAGAACACTGGGCGGCACTCAGCACACAACACAGAACCAGAGAAGTCCATGCAGGCAAGGGAACACGCACTGGACCAAGGGAGCAGGAACACACCCTGAGGAACATGCAAACACGGAAGATCCCCGCAGATCCAAGGATGCCACAACCCGACGGGCGCTGAGGAAGCACAATTACCTAAGAAAAAGCCACTGCTGGACGACAAGTGATACACCGCCCGCCCCGCACCCTCCAAGAGCGATGCGCCACAGGGCGGTGACCGGGAACCGTGCAGACACCCACAAGAACAGTGACACAGACAGCACACAGACACACAGATGCACTAGGTCACACACAACACGGAGCTGTGTGGAGGAGACAGGCGCCCCTGGACGGAACAGCAGGTGCGAGCCCTGCTCCTGCTGAGGAGGTGTCTGCAGCTGCAGACAGACCAGGCAGTGCGCACGTAGGTTTCGGGAAAGACTTGCCAGTCTCTCACTCATCAGGCTACTGGAGACGTAGTCCAGGTGCCATTGGGCATGTACCCACAAAATGGAGGAACCAAGCAGGGGCACGCCCCACCTGGCACAGCCTTCTTAGCGTTCTCTGCCGTTCAACAGACACGTGTCTACATCACACTCTGTCCCCCTCCTCAAGGCCCAGGAGGGGGACTCATGCTACTGTAACTAAGGAGCAGCCACAGCTCGGCATCACAGGCCGGTGGCAGGTTGGGGCTGCTGCAGGGCTTGTACCCAGGAGATGCAGTTGTGGATGGCAGGCCTCTGGCCAGCAGGCTCCACATGAGAGGTTTCTGAGCCCCTGGCCCCTGAGGGGGGTCTGAGCTAGCCCACCTGGGCCTGGTTGTGCTGGGAGGGGTATGGCTGTGGAAGAAATGCCATGGGAAGAGACTCCCATGGACTGTGGGTTGAGTCTCAGTGCCCTCTGCGGCTGAGGTCAAGCACGTGAGACCCCCACTTGAAGCCTCTGGTCTCTTATTGCCAGAGGGAGGAGGGAGGGCGCCAAGGACCTGTGTCCTGGGACTCTGGAAGGGCACTCTCCTCTCAGAACCACTGGAGGCTGAAAGGGAATAACAGGTTCCAGTCTTGAGCGGTTGCTACAAGGAAGCAGGAGGGCCAAGGGCAAGGCGCAGTCCTGGGACAGAGCTGCTGACTGGCCCACTGTACCCTCAGGTGCAGACAGCCTGACGGGGACGGGGGAGGGGAGCACCGGCAGGCGGTGTTGCCCTGGACAGCCAGCCTTCGGTTTTCAGGGAACCCACTTATCATCCCAAATAAAACTTCCTGTGGGAAGATCCCCCAGCCTAAGGAACCGTTATAAGACATGTCAACAGAGGCCTACCTCACTCCCAAAGAGGTCTGCACATGAGGATAAATGCGTGTCTGAGGAAGCTGCCCCAGCCCTGAGGCACACAGACAGCTGACCCATCAGGAAGCTTACAAACACCACAAGGAAAGGAGGGAAAGAACTCTCTCGTCTTAAAAAGAAAAGCCTCCCCTTACACACATACACTCTCTCTCACGCAATTCTGCATTGTCAAAGCTGATGTCGCCTGCTTTAGCTAGGCATGCCCGGGAAATAGTAGGGCCCCTAGGGAGAAGGGGGTGTCCTTAGGGCCAGAGAAGAGCCGGGGCTGCTTCGTGTGCACAAGGAGGACAAACCAGGCTGTGTGCGTGTGCGTGTGCAGGGGCCATGGCCTTGGGTCATTCCTGGGGAGGGGGAGAAGAGACGATGGGTCATCACCGCACAAGCAGGGTGGGCAGGGAGGGGCTGGGGCCTCAGCCCTGGCCTGAAGCCTTCAGTTGATCTGGCGACAAGCCTCAAATGTCCACTTGGTGGCCCCTCCAAAGATCTCGATCTGGGACTCAGCCCAGGCGATGACGTTGCCGGACAGGGCCTTGCTGCTGCAGGTGGCCAGGTTGTACACCTCCCCGGGGGTCAGCTTGCGGTCCCAGATGTTGAAATGGGCCAGCTCACCTACAAATGCCTGCGTGGCGTCAAACCCTCCGCCTAGAGTGTCCTTTGGAGAAGAGTCGGGGATGAGGGAGAGGAAGGGTTGGCCAGGTGATCTACAGACCGCCCGCCCACCACTAGCAGGAGAATCTGGGCATCCGTGCCTCCCTCCCTGTCAGGCTCTCCTTCTCTCGACCCGTTTACTTAGGTCTGTTTTCTTTCTGCACCTGTCCTTCCCTGAGATGAACCCAGGGAAGGGATTGGTGCCAGCCTACTCTGGATACAGACCATCCCCCTGGGGGCCTTGAGACACCAGCCAGTCTCCTGGGCAATAGTGAGTAGGAGGTCACTGAGGAACACAGGCAGCCCAAGCAGCATCATCTCAGAACCCTCTCAAACGCCCTAGCTGCCGGAAGACATCCCAAAAGGCATGGAAGGCTTGACTTCCTGTCCCCTCATCTCCCTCCCAGCCGGTGCCCAGTGGGAGATGAACCATTTCACAGAAACTAAATTATTCATTGCTAAAAGTGGAACTGGGCTACCCATGCCAAAGAGAGGCCTGCTGCAGTTCCCAAGAGTGCTGGGACCTGGGCCCACTCTCACGGAGCTTCCTGGAGCCCACCCTGAGCACAGCTGAACTATGGCGTAACTTGCTACGTGCACACACATGCGTGGAACACACACACACACACACACGCCTTCCCCTCCCTCACCCTCTGCCCAGCCAGTACCTGCTCCTGACCCAGCACCAGCACACCCTGTGGTTTGATGGGGTGATAGGGTGCCAGGTTCTCTCCACTGCCGCCCTGGGTGCCGTCCTGATAGGCCTCCCACACCCCATCCCGGGTGGTCCAGGTGACGCAGATGTGGTGCCACTTGCCATCGTTGATTACAAAGGGCAGCTTGGCCACCTGGGAAGGAGGAGGAGACAGTTATGGCCACCTCAGCCGGACACACACCACCTCACTCCTCCTCCCTCAGCTCCGCAAAAGGAGCCTGTGACAGAGTATGTGTCCCTGGTGGCCTCCCCACTGCGTCTCTCATCTTTCCACCTCCAATTGCTAGATCCTCTGGTCTACGTTGCCTGCAGCCAGCCCCTGCAGAGGTCCTGAGTGGAGTCCGGAGACTGGCTCAAACTGGTCTAAAGCAGACCTTAAGTCCCATCCACCCTAGGCAGGGGACAAAGTGACAAGTCAGACCCCACAGGGTCTAGGAAAGCACAATGCATCCTGGGGTGCAGCAGGAAGGCTTTGATCCTGCCCCTGGCCAGGTTAGAGCCATTTACTAGTGGTGATGGAGGACAGCAGAGGGGCTGAAAGCTGGCAGCTAATTCCACTAGCCCCGAGGGGAGGGTGGAGCTGCAAGAGCTGGAGAGAAAATTACCCTCTCCTGGGTGGCCAGGAGGGGAGGGGGCTGGCAGACTCTCCCTGAGAGCGGCAACGTGAGACAGATCTACAACCAGCGTCTCTAAAAGCATTTCACCAAGAGTAGCTACAATCACCAAAATGGAGAGCCCAAGCCAGTTAACCAGCCAGTGGAGGAGGAGCCAGAATATCAGCAGGCTGGACTAGAACATTCCCAGGACTGTCCTCTGTCAACCCCCCCCCAGGCCCCTCCTCCTCCTCTCCGACAGCAAAGGCCTCTTTCTGGAATGTTCCAGCTCTCCTCCATATCCTATTAGGGCAGGTGAATCCTCGTTTTGGATCTGATTCAGCCTCCACCTCCCGCACTCAGACTCGCTGGGCAGACATTTTTCTCAGAACCACAGCCCTGAAAAGCATCTAGGAGCTGCAATCCCAGGAGCTCTGGTGGGGTGTGGGCACACAGCTCTGATGACATCCCAGGGTCCTGGGTGGGCCTTGCCCGGCTGCCCTCGCCCTGTCAGGGTGGTGGCATTACCTTGTCATTGATGAGTATCTCCATGGGGTTGTTACCCCACTCGATGAGGACCAGCTCGTTGGCCTGCCCAGGGACGGCGTAAGAGAAGGGTGTGCCCACTCCAGGCGCCGCGCTGGACTTGAGCCACATGCACACAGTGAAGGCGTACATCTCCGGCAGGCTCTTCTTCACCTTGGCGTACATGTAGTTGGTCCGCAGCGGGAACGTCAGCTGAAACTTGTCTCCGGGTCGGTTGTCTTTCTGACCTGGGGAGGACAAGATGAGCCCTGCCATCCTGTACCTTGACCAAATGCTTACGGCACGAGCCGTGTTTGGTCCCCACCAAGTCTTGTGATTCAGACAGGGCACAGGGCCAGCTGCCAAAAAAAGAGCTGACCCAAGGTCTCTGCACTCTGGGCCTGGTCAGCTCTTGTTTCCACATGGTGCCATCCCTGGGGAGGCCAAGGTAGGAGACGAGCACAGGACAGGCTGTGAGCCTGCCGCTGGGCTGTGAAGTAGGCCCGGAGAGGGAATTGGGCCTGCTTCAGCGCACACTGGCCTAGTGACTGAGAGGGTGTGGCTGCGGGGGAAGAAGGAACCAGGCTAGCTCCCCTCTGAGGAGCCCCCTCGGGGGCCGACCTGATTTAGGTGGTGATGGTGTTCAGAACCTCTTGACTGTACTGGGCTTTTCTCTCAGTCTCCACCCAAGACAGCATCCCTGCTGCCTGTCCCCAGGCTGAGGCCAGCACACGCTGCAGCCTGCTCACTCAGTCCTTCGCACAGCTGCATGCTTCTTTCACCCTGAGCTGCAGACCTCCGGCCACTCCCCCTGGGACACCACCTGGAGCCCACTGAGAGGCGAGGCAGTAGGAGGCACAGCTTCCTTGAACCAGGCCCCCCAGGTGACGCTTTGAGGATGCCACAGAGCCTCTGATGAACTTCCTGGAAACTTGGGCTCCAAGCCCAGGCCCCCCATGACTGCTAACCAGCATCCTCTGGGAACGCCTCACCTCACCTCCACCTCTACACTTCCTGGGGCTGGCCCTGGCCCGCTGTGCCTGATTCTCATGAAAACAGGTCCTACTGAGCAGAACACACTCACCCTTTTGGAGCCAAGGAATGCACCTTCCTGCAAGCTCCTGGCTGCACCCCCGCCCCAGAGCCCAGGAAGAACCTGGTCCCCAAATTAAGAGTGACTTCTAGAAAGCAGAACAGGACACCACTGCCTTCAGGCCAAGCAAGCAGGTGAGCAGGGCTGATCCGTGCTGCGCACCCCGGACCCCTCCTAATTCAGGCTCAAGTCTGGCTGAAGGGGGCAGTACCGGCCTCTCTCCGGAGTGTTTTCCCTTCCTGAATCTCCCGCCCCTCCCTTCTTAGGTCCCTCTTTCCCTTCATGTTTTTCAGTTACATAACACGCCTTAAGATGGCACTGTTTAAATCCATCCGGCACATTTTGCAGGCCAAGCCAGGTCACGTGGCCCTGCTCCGAGCTCCGCTGGCCCCCCTCCTCATTTTACAACCTTGTTTGATTTCTGTGACTCAGGGCACAGCTCCTCGTGCACCGAGGCAGGCGCGGCCAGCCTGAGTTCACGACCAGGGCAAACGCAGTGGCGTGCAAGCTGGGTCACTGGAAACAGAAAGTCGAAAGAGCAGGGCTCAAGGTGGAGAGAGGGACCTGGCGATCCTGAAAGGACACCAGGGGCCAATGGGGCCCGAGAGGGCTGGTGTCCAGCTCTTTGTCCCAACTGAAGCGAGGCTTTCCACTTACTAAGGAAGGCTCGGGCCAGAAACAGCTACTGTGCAAAGTTCCCGGGGATTAAACAAATCAGACTTGAAAGAAGCAATCCTGCGAGCGTCCTGACTGTACCGTGCAATCCCTTCTTAGGCTCTGCTGCTTCCTCGGGGAGTCATCTCCAGCCTGGGAACCGGACAAGAGGCCGGGGCAGGGAGCGGGGCTCGGGCAACGTCTCGGGAGAGAGCTCAGCGCACGCGGCATGTCCCCCTGAGCCCTTACCTTTCTCCAGCTCACTGATCCGCTGGTGCAGGGAGGTCAGGGCGCTCTCAATCTTGGCCCTCTCCTCCGTGTCGTTCTTGGGGCCCCCCTTGCCCTCCTCCAGGGTGTTCACGCGAGCCAGCACCTGCCGCTCCAGGTCATCGATCTTGCTCTGCAGCAGATCCTTCAGGCTGTTGGTCTGGCTGGAAGAATTGAGGCGACTGTACTGCTGCGGGGCACAAGGGCAGGGGAAAACCACACCGTCAGGGGTGCGGCAGGGTCCCCGGGGCGACTGCGGGGGCGGCCTGGAGGGGAGCTTCCCCCCTCCCCCCGGCGCCCCGCAGGGTCCTCGAGGCGCCGCTCCGGCCTGAGCGCGCGGCGGAGGCGGGGGAGGGGGGCGGGGTGCCGGGCCGGGTCGGGATGGGATGGGATGGGGTGGGTGGGCGAGGGCAGAAGGGCGCAGGGCGCGGAGGGGGAACCGCGGCTCACGCGGACCTCGAGGTTCTCCAGCCGGGTTTTGAGAGACTGCAAAGTTTGCCCGAGTTGGCTGAGCGTCTCCGCGGCCGGCGTCCGGGACAGGTCGCCCATCGTGTTCTTGCCGGAGCCGGGCTGCTTGCGGCCGCCGCCGGACCTGGCCTCGCCGGGCCCCGCGTCCAGGGTGCTCTGGCTCTCGCAGCGGCCGAGCTTGGTGGTCAGCTCCCGGATGGTCTCCTTCTGGCTGAGGATGGTCTCCTTCTGCTGCAGCACGGTCTCGCGGAGCTGCAGCACGCTGCTGCGGAGCTCCTCCGCGCCGCCCGCGGCCACGGACGCGGCGCACATGTCGCCGTCCACCGGCACCGAAGTGCAGATGAAGCGGGTCTGCCCGAAATCCTGGGCCCGAGCGCCCAGCAGGCAGAGGGCGAGCAGCGCACAGGTGCGCACGGCGCGGCGGGCGAGCATGGCCGCGGGGCCCGCAGCACCGGGCCGGGGGCTCGGCTGGGACGGGGCTCGGGCTGGCGGGGCTCGGCAGGCGGCCGCGCTCCGGGCACCGCGCTCCTCGGCTGCACTGCTTCCCGGCCGCGCTCCTCGGCCCCCACTGCCGCCTGCGCTGCGGAGCCCGCGCCTTTTATGCAGCCGCGGGAGGGGCCTCGGCGCCGCGGACGTCAGCGGGGGAGGAATCCCGCTTTAATTGTGCGCGGACGGGCCCCGCGGCGCTGCGGGGGTCGCACGGGCGCGCGAGCCGGAGCTCCCGCCGCCCTCCCTCCCCAGCCCGCCCCTCCGGAGCCGCCGTCGCCCCCTCCCACCGCCTCCGCACGCACGCCCCCGCCCGGGCCCGCGCCGCTTCCCCGAAGGCTCCCGGAACGCAGGGACAGCGGGGAGGGAGAGCGTCCGCGGGCCCAAACTAGATGGTGGGCACCTCTCCGGCGCCCCTGGCCTCCAACGGGGCTCGGAAAGGAGGAAAGGCCACCAGACAGGCTCGGGTCACTTGGTCGCGCTGGGCGCTCGTGGGGTCCGGGCTCTGTGCGCTCGCGGCTCTCCTCTCCCCCAGATCGTCTATGTCTGTGTGCCCGGCGCACAGCTCACCGTGGTCCAGAAAAGAGGTCGCTCGTGATTCACAGACATCCGTTTGGGGCTGAAAGCCACGGAACACCCTGGGCCTGGGGGCTCCCACATCCTGCCTTCCCGCCCTTCTGCATTCCCCTTCTCCCAACCCTTGGAGAGTGTGGACCCAACAATGGCCCCCCACCCCCGAACCGAGAGCCCCCACTGTGTATTCGTCAGGGCTGGGGCCTTCTCGGATCTGCGGATAGAACCCTTCCTGCCATCCAAACCAGTCTAGTTCCGGGCAGGTGGCGCCCCAGAAGCTGGCTGGCCCCTCAAAAGGGACCCCGCGCGTGCTCCTTCCCTTAAGAGTGCGGATGCGCTCTGGGCGTGTCCGTGTGTGTGTGTGTGTGTGTGTGTGTGTGTGTGTGTGTGTGTGTGTGTTGAGTGAGTGAGTGTGTGTTGGGCTTACTGTCTAGTCCATTCCTCACGCTCCTGGATTTTGGGGGAGGGGTCCCAGAGCTGGACAGCCACTTCGCATCTGCAGAGGTTCGCGCCTCTAACGCTTTTCTTACAGACACCCCACCCAGCCTCCCACATACCCGCTCCGCTTTTTTTCTGGTTATTGTCACTGCCTGGCTGGGATTCCAGTCCAGGTACTACCGCCTCTGCGGACTCCGGACAAGGGTCTGTCTGGGCTGCAGCCCCACGTTGGAGGCAGATTTGGGCCTGGGAACTCGCCCAGGCCCCAATTATGTTGAAAAGGACACGAAGGTGGGGAGAACCCCAATCGGGTTTTAAATGACTGGAGAGCCCCAGCCACAGGGTGGCCGGTTGGCCCCGTGGACCGCCCCCACCCCTTCCAATCGAGCGTTCGGTTGCCCGAAGCCTTTTCCAGGCGCTGCGAAGGGCCAGACTGAGTTCTGGCCGTGAGGCGCTAGTCCGGAACCCGCTCGGACAGGAGACCCCAGACGTGGGGAGTGGGCGTCGTCACACTGGCGGCTCGCCCTGGGTGGTGACCTAGAAGCCGAACTGGCAGAGACGCCGCTGTCCTGTCTTCTCCGACGCCTCCTCCCAGCCCCAAGCCCCAGGGCGCCCCAGGTCTCGGCTTTTAACCGAGCCGAGCTGAGGCTGCGGGCCGCTGTGGCCCCTGCACGCCAGACGCTCGCTGGGTCGCCGCTTCCGGGCGCCAGAGGGACCCCGCGGCCCGCACGCGGCTGTCCGGGGCTCTGGTGCCGGGAGGGGGTGCGGGGCTGCCTTCCAGCGGGTCCTCTGTCCAGCCCCCGGCGCGGGAGCCCGCGGCGGCTCGCGTCTGCCCCCACGGGCGCCCCCCGGGGCCCAGGGCCAGCCTCGCGCCCCTCCGCGGAAGCCGCGCTGGCAGGGGCATCGCCCGCTCCGGGGGCGCCGCGCGGCGACGCCGGCCCCCCAGCTCCAGCCTAGTGCGGACGGACGCGGGGACCCCGCGCACACCTAGCGCTTCGGCCGCGGCGGCGCCTCCCCCGCGCGTGTAACGCGGAGCAGTCCCCGGCCTGGCCCTGCGGCGAGGCTATCCCCGCGCGGAGTGCGTGGGCGCGGGAGGCTAGCCTGGCCCTTCCCGGCGAGGGGGGGCCGCGCCGCTCCCTCCACACACCGGTTTTGTATCTTGAGCCCCGGGAGCCCCAGGACTCCGAATTTTACCACCCGGGAGACCCGGCTGGTTGGTGCTGTCACACTTGGGCACGGAGGGTGCGTCAGCCTTTGACAGAGGATGATGGGAGCCGGCGGGTCAAAGGGTGGGAAGGGAGCCGGGGGCGTTCGGGTCTGCGGAGCCCAGAGCAGGGGAAACAGAGGGTGGTCCGTTCGCCGCTGAGTGCGCAGCCCGCCTGGAGGCGCTGTGTAGACCCCGTGGGCTGCCCAGGTGAGCGACCACGCTGGACCACGCACATGCTCTCGTGAAAGTCTCTCCAGCCGCTCTCGGCATCCTGAGTGGGGAGAGTCCACCCTAATCGCTATAAAGTTGCTCTGCCTCCCATTGTTCCGACTGCCTAGTGGCCCAGAAGGCCCGGGGAAAGGCGTGGAGGCCCACCTCACCCAAAACCTCAGAGGGGGAAAGCGAAGGAGCTGATGGGAAGGGCTGCTTCCATGAAGACCCTCTGCCTGGCCTGGGCAGAGACGAGGAGTGGGTGAATCCTCCCGCCTGGGTCTGTGGCCGCAGCACTGCAGGGGGGCTGGAAGCCTGGGGTCCAGCACAGTGGGGTGGGTCCCGCGTGCAAACCCCGCGGTAACTGCAGGAGAACAGAGGTGTGTGAAACAATTAGGAATTGATACATTTAGAATACTCGGGGTTTGGTATCATTATTTCATTATCATTTTATATAATTTCAGCCTTAATGATGGCTGTGCTAACCAACCTGCAAACTTCCTGCAGACCGAACAGTTGGCCTGGGCTCTGCAGGGCGCAGGCCGGTGAGCTTGAGGTCAATGTTGTTTGCGGGCTGATACTTGGTGGAAAAGGTGGGTGTACGCAGGAGGCCTACACAGTGACATCAAAGCACATCATGGAAGGCTTTACCCACACGAGAGCGAGCGCACACAGGGTGCACCCTCCTCCCCCAGCATGGCCATAAGCAGGTCAGGCACTGCCACCCCCATCAGGGCAGAGCTTCCTGGAGGAGGACATGTACGAATGCCAGTTGGTCTGGGACGGTGCCAGGCAGGGGCACCAGCCTCCCTCAAGCCCTGCCTCTGAGCTTTTTAGCATGAAGGCCCGCTTTGTGCTTTAGGAAAGCCACCCCTGCCAGGGGGTCCTAGTGGGTAAAGAGGGCCCGCCCTCTTCTCAGGAGGCAGCCCTCACTACACACGGGGACATAGGTCAGCTTGACACAGAGCTGTGTGCAAACAGACCCTTCTGGGGGACATGGCATGCCTGCCGTGGATTTGCTGGCGTCCCATCTTGGGTAGGGAATGCCCAGCAGAGGAACAAGGGGCTGGGTTGTTGTTTTTTCCCTTGCCCCATTGCAGTGCTGTTTGGGGGCTGTTCTCAGCACTCAGGCGGTGCTGGCTGTGTTCCGTTCCTCCTCCCGGCCTCTGGGTGCACCACTGACACTTCCTGTGTAGCTCGTTCCTCTCACAGGGTTGGAGGGACTGCATCCACAGACGCAAGCTGTGGGCTTCTCACAGCCACCGAGCCGCCTGGCCACCCGGCCACCCAGAGAGACTCCACTGGGACCATGGGCAGCTGAGCCCTGAGGACACGGCCGGGAGTGTAAAACCTCTCCTTCCCCATGAGGCACCCATGGGACCGAGGGGGTGGCAATGGGGATGCTCTGAGCAGCAAGCCTTCTGCCTAGGCCTCTGAGTCATATCCTCACTCCCCCTTCCCCCAGCTCAGACACTCTCTGACAGGCCCCGCCCACCAGCATGTGGCCTAAGAGGACCTGCTCTCTGGGTGTGCTGGGAAGTCCTCTCCCCCTGCCCTCTTTATGGCCGTCTGTGACTGTCACCTTATCTTACAAACACGAAGTTGTTCTTTTAGGTTTTTTTATTTAAAAAATAATGAAAAATTAGAACAGAATGTGTGTCGCTGGACTGGAGGGCTGGCTCGGCAGTTGTGCTCCGCTCTTCCAGAGGACTTGAGTTCCCAGCACACATGGCAAGTGGCTCACAACTGCCTGTGACTCCAGTTCCAGGGGAGCCACCATGTCATGCCCCCATGAACACACACACACACACACTTAAATATGATGACGAGCGTTTCTATCTGCTGAGCCCCTCGCCAGTCCCTGGCTGTCCTTTTCAAATCCTCCTTCTGCATTTGCTCATGTGCCGAGCTAAGGCATGCTTTGGCTGTTCTCATCGATGAAGAAATGAACAGAGGCCCCCATGAGAGGCATGGTTAAATGTGATGTCTCCCCAGCCTTCCACCCCAGTCAGCAGAAGGAGCTCACACTGGGGAGCTGGGGGACAGGGCCCAGCACATCCACAGCACGGTACAGGTGAGGCCATCTGGGGCTCTGGCCTCCAGCGCATCTCCCTCATCCGCTGTTGGAAGCTGGCCTCGCTTACTGTTTGCACTCACTGGGAAAACACAAGGCGCTGGCGCTGCCGCTGTGGGGACTGAGCAGTCGCAGGCAACCGACTCCCCCAGGCTCTCTGTGCCCCACCAGGGTTTCTCCCAGGAAGTGACCCTTCTCCTGCGCCATCCAGGCAGCTGTTGACCTAATCTGGCTGGGGACAGACACCTGCATGCTCTCTTGGCCTGCCCTCCCCCTGTCATCCTATGCACCGAGCCCAGGGTAAGGGTCGGGATTAGGAGCTTAGACTGAAGATTTGTTTGCTGGTCCCAAAAAGCCAGCATTTGCACATGGGAATGTGATGCTGCCTGACTGTTCAAAGCAGCAGTTTCAGATGCCAGGCAAGATCTTGGGCATTTAGCACAGTGGAAACATTCCTAATGTTTGCTCCCAGTTTGGCAAGTATTTCCAGAGCATCTGTCGAGGGCAGGCAAAGTGCCAGGGACAGTGATGAACAAAATACCGACCCCATCTCTGAGAGCAGGCCAT